GGAACCAGTTGAGTCTATCTTAGTATTTCCTCTACACCTCTTCTTCAACCTCGAACAATCTTCCATCGAATAATGGGTCTCAAAATTGGACGACGGAGACCCATGATTGGATCTCAAAATGTCAGTCAATTTCGAGGACTCGTCACACTCACTTCCTTTCCTTTTCATCCTCATAGCATCTATCAGTAAAGTACCAACGCAACACCAATCTTTGTGTTGATCACGTACCCAGTGTGCAAAATCCTATTTTTGCCGCAAGACACAATTCTGCAGTCAAAATAGAGAAAGATCAGTCAACGAATTCTAGTCAGATTGATCATGAATGAACGCAAAACCACAAGGAAAGCATCCAAACACAAATATTAAACTTCAAGAAAGTAAATCGGACCCCGAAGCTTTTTCGCAACGTAATGGCGCCAAAAAGCGCCATCACATCACGAGACCCCTGCAAGACAAGACAAGAAGATGCCAGAACATAGAAAGAAAAAGAAATAAACCTTCGCAATCCCAACCAATGATCCTGTAATGCGTTGTGGAGAGTATAAGCAATGAGAAAAAAGTTGCAAATTGGGAAACTATTACGACGTAATTTCTCAATCAGGGACTGAAACCCTAAAAATCTGCTATCAAAGTTTTAGGGGAATGCGCGAACGACAAGCATAGAAAAAAGAAAGAAAGAAGACGGGTACTCTCTGAGAGTCACACTCTTTTTGCTTAGCTAACGTTGTTTCCTTTAATATAGGATGTTCCAGTTCATTGTTTTATGTTCTCGTGCGTGCGTCACTATTTCAAGGGGTGAATTTGATTACGATTTTAAAATTTTTTCTCAATCAGTGGAATAAAAAAATCAAGAGGGTCAAATTAGGTAAGAAAAATAATGAACTAGTAAGAAAAAAAAATGAATATCGTCAAATTATATAAGAAAAAGCATTGAACGTGTATAAAGTAGGAACTGTTTTAAAAAACTAATGAATAACTTTAATTTGGATTTTGAAACGGTAATCGAAATATTGAATTCTGGAAATTATTGGTATTATTCCCTTCTTTATATTGTTCAATACCAGATTAATTACCATTTAATAGTTATCATATTAATGAAATTGGACTTTTCTCCTTACACACGTTTCTCATTTTCATCATATTAATTACCATTCAATAGTCAACAAATTTCACATAAATGTTTGACTTTTTTGCAATTTATGCTTTTTTTAAATAGAAATCGCAACTAACGTATAGTGAAAAATATTTTTTTCCTTAAAAATGCAGTTTTTGAAAAAAAGAATTCATTCAAACAAGTCCTTAATTTTCACCTCTGCTATTTTTTAAATTGTTGAAAAGTTAAAAAAAAAAAAAGAAGAAAAAAAGCTTTTTTTGTAATATTGCTCTTAACTTTGATCCAATCTGATACGCCAATCCCATGGGAATAACAAATTGGATTTTTTCCTTACACACATTTCTCATTTTCATCATATTAATTACCGTTCAATATTGTCATCATATTAACATTGAACATGCATAAAATAGGAGTTGTTATAAAATACTAATGAATAACTTTAACTTGGATTTTGAAAAGGTAATTCAAATTTGAATTCTGAAAATCATTGGTATTTATTCTCCATTTATGATTGGTCAATACCAGGTTAATTACCATTCAATATTGTCATCATATTAACGAAACTGGACTTTTTTCCTTACATAATTTTCTGATATTCTTCTTGACTTTCTCCCTAATTTGTTCCCTAATTTCTATTTAATTTCTATCTTAGGAATTTCCTTCATCCAATACCTCACTTTGTTTTTCTTGAATTTCCTTTATTTGATTTATCTTAATTCATATCAGCAATTGTCGTAAAAAAAACTATATAATAAAATATTATAAATTTTTATATAATTTTTTAAATATAAAATTTGGTATTTCGGTTAAAATCTATTGTCATTTGCAATTTTATACAGTTGATGAAATCTATAAACAAAAGTAAAGAAATAGATTTTTATTATGTTATCAAACGTAATTTTGATTATCGGAATAAAAAAAATGTGTTATCAAACGTAATTCTGATTCTCGGAATAAAAATAAAATATGTTAACAAACGTAATTCTGATTCTCAGAATTGTTCCAAGGCACAGAAATATAAAAGAATCATTCCTTTTCAGAAACAGTGCCAGGAATAAGAATGATTGTCATGCGCAGCCTAATTGTCGTTGATTATATATCGAAGCAAACATATAAAAATGCACTAACTTTTTCGATAAACATTTCAAACATAAAATTTCACTTTCGTCCCACAACATAATAAGTAATGAACCAAACATTATTCTAATTGATCTCAGAATATGTTTTTAAATGAATAATATAAATCATCATATATTATATTATTAAAAAATAAAAGGTATGTGTAATTATGATAAATGTTTGACATGTCAAATTTTTTGCCCCAACTAAAGTTAAATTCTGGCTCCGCCATTGTGTGGAGCCATTCTTTTGGACGTTAGACGGTTTTTTTTTTTGTTTTCTTGCCCATCAGTGGCGGAACCACATTATGCTTAGGTAGGGTCGGAGCCCCAGTTACATTTCAGTAAATTTTATTTATTATATATAATTATATAAGTAACTGTAATTTTTGCTTTTTTTTAAATAGAAATCTAAAATAACTTATAGTGAAAAATATATCTTTTTACTTATAAAATGCAATTTTTGAAAAAAAAATTCATTCAAACGGGTCGTTAATCTTCACCTCTGCTATTTTTAAAATTTTTGAAAAGTTAAAAAATAAAGAAAGAAAGATAAAAAGTTTTTTTTTAATATTGCTCTTAACTTTGATCAATCTGATACCGCCAATCCCATGGGAATAACAAATTACATGTTATGGAATAAAAAAATCAACAGGGTCAAATTAGGTAAGAAAAATAATGAACTAGTAAGAAAAAAAAAATGAATATCGTCAAATTATATAAGAAAAAGCATTGAACGTGTATAAAGTAGGAACTGTTTTAAAAAACTAATGAATAACTTTAATTTGGATTTTGAAATGGTAATCCAAATATTGAATTCTGGAAATTATTGGTATTTATTCCCTTCTTTATATTGTTCAATACCAGATTAATTACCATTTAATAGTCATCATATTAACTAAATATTACACGAAATTAATTACCTTTTTTCATCTTAACATTGAACACTAATGAATAACTTTAACTTGGATTTTGAAATGGTAATTCAAATTTGAAATCTGAAAATCATTGGTATTTATTCCCCCTTTATGATTGGTCAATACCAGGTTAATTACCATTCAATATTGTCATCATATTGGACTTTTTTCCTTACACAAATTTCTGATATTCTTCTTGACTTTCTCCCTAATTTGTTCCCTAATTTCTATTTAATTTCTATCTTAGGAATTTCCTTCATCCAATACCTGACTTTGTTTTTTCTTGAATTTCCTTTATTTGATTTCTCTTAATTCATATCAGGAATTTTTAAAAAATAAAATAATATATACTTGATAAATGGGTGTTCCCATTCCTTGATTCCAATTTAAATTCACAATAATAATAAAAGTACTCTGTTTCACTTCTATGAGAATAAGTGATTGTTTGGATGAGTTTTCAAAAAAAATATTTTTATATTTTATTTATTTTAGAAGTACTTTTTATAAAAGTTAAAGTTATTTAAATTTTTAAAAAATATTTGTGTTTTAACTTATGTTATTTTTAGAAGCTAAAATTTTCATTTAAAAAAAAAGATTTTTAACTTTTTTTATGACTTTTACTCTTTTTAAAAGTAGACGCCCAAACATATTTCTCCCACACATGCTTTTTTTTTTCCTGAAGTAAAACAACTTTTGAAGAGAGAAAAACCCATCCAAAGAGGCCCTAATAATTTTTTAATGACATGGAAGAAAATGAGAGAAAAGATTAAAAAAAAGATGACGCTAATTTTTTTAATTTTTTATTTCTATTATTTTAGTTCCTTTATTTTTTTTTCTCTTCAGTCAATTGATAAAAGATTTGAAACTTTAAAAACTTTCTTCCATTTTCTCCCCTCAATCCAAAGATAAGGTTAAATTATAGAGAATCATCCCATTCTTCTAATAAAAACAAAAAGAGAATTTTAATTCTGACACACAAATAATGTTACGCACAATACGACCACATTTAATTAACGGTTATCATTTTTCAAATCAAACTCATTAATTAATTATTAATTCGTAATAAATGATAATCGTTGATTGGCGAAAATCAACGGTTAAGATGTGGTCGTAACATTGTGCGTAACATTATTTGTGTGTCACAATATCTTATCCATTAAAATATACCATTTGTCCTCTCTTTATTGACAAAACTATTTATGCTTAAAAGGACATAATTTACGTCCTTTAAAAGGACACACTAAATCCCTCTCTTTTTTCAGATTTGATCAGAATACTTTGAGCCATGAGAGTAAAAATGAGGGCAAAAATTCATGAATCAATTTTATTAGTAAATTATGTTTAAGATATATCCATGAAATTTTTATTCTTATTTTACCATAATACATAGTTGACTCAAAGCGAAAGGAGGGTAAACACTTGTACCTTGATACCGGAGTTGTTAAATTGAGTCATGACTTATCAATTAATCTGGTTTAAGTTACCAAAATTCAATCCATATTAATTTACTTTTCTCTCAACTTGTAATGAGCTAACCAGAAACTTTGGGTTTAAAATTTTTTAAATTCACAATTTTCATGAATTACTAATTGTTTTGATTATATTTATAAAAATTATGAATTCAGTTTGGTGATTGGTTATGTTTTGATGATTTTTACTACAATCTAGAATTAATTTATTATGATTACATATTTTTCTATTCTTTTAACTAATAATAAACAAATTTGTTTAACATTAATTTCAATCTAGCATTTTATGAACCAATCCTGATCATCATGACTCATGAGAGATCTAAATAATAAATTACCCTCTTCGTTAAAAAAATATTCCAAAGCATATGTGCACCTTTTCTTTCTCTTTCCGAGCATATGATTCACTACATTGTGTATCATCGAAGTTCCAAATTAACCTTGTTAAGACGCTACGCGAACCAAACACGAGAAGCGGTTCAGTGAAAAGATGGCTGCGTTAAACCCTCCCAAAACCCTCCAAACCAAAATTCTACCCGCAAATCCAATTTCAGTGGCGGTTTCTAGGTCAAGAACTAGAATCGCTTTGAAATCGAACAAGTTCCCAGGCACAGCAATTTGTGCTTCAGAGATGCGAAGAGAAGTTCAACAACAAACGTCTTTTGTGGACACTCTCCTCAACGGTACTCGCAGAAACCAAATCCTCGACGCCATCGGAACAAGCTCTCTCTCTAATTGCCTCTCCGAAACTAACCTTCATTTGACAGTTCCAGCTCTCAAGTCCAAAACCCGCGGCAAAGTATGCGCATATTTGAATCAATTATTTATTTGTTGGCAATTTGTGCTTAGGACTCAGAAATAGCTTACTGTATGATTTTTAGGTTCGAGATATTTATGATAGTGGAGATTACCTTGTTTTAGTTACCACTGATCGCCAGAGTGCCTTTGATAGGATTCTTGCTTCCATTCCCTTTAAAGGCCAGGTTAGGTTTGTGATTCTGTTGCATTGTTTCTGTACACGTGGAATTCAGTGATCCTGATTGTTTTGTTTCTCTTACAATCTTAGGTTCTTAACGAGACAAGTTTGTGGTGGTTTGAAAGAACTAAGCACATAGTTTGTAATGCTGTTGTATCGGCTCCAGATAAAAATGTTACAATAGCAAAGAAGTGTTCGGTTTTCCCGGTTGAGTTTGTTGGTGAGTTTTTTTTTTTGCTAATACAAATAGTTTTTATTTGCCTATTTAATGACTTGATTGATGCTGATTCGTTTTCTATGGTTGAGATTTCTTTTTTCACCTTTTGTTTCTGACTCTGTCTTTAACTTCAAAGAAACTATGTTAATCTTTTAATTACGGTTCTTTTCTTTTTTTTTTTTGGTAGAAAAGAGGGCCAAAGCCCAACAAAGAAAACAAAAACAAAAACTACTAAATGACTAGTCTACGAGGCCTGCCCAAAGCAGCCAAATCAGCCTGGAGAAGCAGACAGATACCAGTGGAGGTTGTCTACTAATAAAATGATCCAAACCCTCACTTTTGTTGAGAATAAAATTCTCCATCCAATTAGCACAAACGTTGCCTTCTCGAAATGTGTGTTGCAATCTAACAATCCAATTGCTTCGAAGCCATACCCGTATACGAGAGATCAGATGATCCTCACGAGCTCCTACACCATGATTGGTGAGCACAGTGATCACAGCAGAAGAATCACTTTCAATAATTATCTGTGGATACCCATAACTCCAAGCAAACCCTGTAGTACACCCCACAACTCTCCTTTGAAGGAACTACAAACACCAAGCTTATAAGCAAAACCCACAATCCAATTTCCTTGATCATTTCGCATAACACCTCGACAAGAAGCTAGACCCGGGTTGCCATGCGCATCACCATCACAATTTACCTTAGCAAAATTCGCCATGGGGAATTGCCAAACAATGTTTTGAACAATCGGTTTTTTTACTACACCAATACTGTATGACTCAATGAAGGCGTCATTCACCTCCTTTACTAATTTGCGAATTTGATGCTCTCTGTAAAAAACAGGCGTTGAAGAATTACCATGCACAAATTTGATGCTCTCTTTTTTTTTCGTTTTAATTTTGTTTTGTAATATCATATTATCTAAGGTAAGAACAGAATTTGAGGAGGCAGGTTTTGTTTTTATTGGAGTGAGTGGGGATCAGAGTTGTCTTATGATGTGTCGGGACTTAAATACAGAATCATCATATAATTGAATTTCTTATTGCAAATGCAAATGCTATTTTATGGGTAGTGGGGAAAAATAACAAAGTTGCCTATATTTTTCTGGTTATTTATTACTGTGACATCTTATTAAATGGCTTTGAATGCTACAATGATTGTTGATTGGCATATTAAACTGGAGTCTCTTATTAGACATATATCTTACTGCACTGGAGATATTGTTTAATATAGGTTGTAGAGAGGTTTTATTTTGGTTCAGAAAAGATAACTAGGGGGGAAAATGAGAATATATGTTTTGGATACAAGCTTGGAAGACTTTTTTTTGTTTAATTACTTTGGAAGAATATCTATAAATATTAGTGTCTGAAGATCCTTATAAATATTGAAAGAGTAATCAGGATAAAAGTCACCGTTCTTAATTATCGAAATTTATTTTGGCTGAAGATCCGCATGTTGTCTTCTTGTTCCTTTTCTTCTTCTTCAAACTTAAAATTCTTGTTATTTCAAAGTGTTGTAAAATATTTGAATCTTTTAAAAATGGAAAATGAGGGTTATAGCAACCATCCATTGACACCTATTTTACTGGTTTGTAGTTAGAGGGTTTGTCACTGGAAGTACCGACACATCATTATGGACAGTATACAATAAAGGCGTTCGTAACTATTGTGGAAATGTCCTCCCAGATGGTGAGTTTTCTAATTTGTGTCTCATTCTCAATTTTCCCCTCCTTGTGTAATAGGATATTAACACATGACAGGAATGGTAAAAAATCAAAAGTTGCCCAAAAATATACTCACTCCAACAACCAAGGCTGAGGATCATGATGTTCCTGTCACTCCAGATGAGGTATGATGACTACTATTATCATTTGCAACTAGCTTTTTCATTATGACTGAAGTTATGGCAAAGGATGAGCTTCATAGGCAGAAGAAATAAGCACAAATGTTGGAATTGGTGGGAAAATGAGACAGTAGGAGAGTAGTGAAGCTATTTTCCATTAGGCTAATCCATTTATCCGAACATAAAATTGGATAGATAAAATACACAAGAACAGGGGACTATTTCTCTTATAATATTGTCGTGCATTACCAATTAGTTCCCCCCCGCGTTCCCCTTTCTAAAAGAAGGGATCCTTATACTAAATCATCAATGTCGTTTTCCTTTCAGATTGGTTTATTGCATTTTTTATATCACTATATCTTTGAAAATGTCAATCAAGATCAGTTAAGCTCATTCTGCTAAACAGAGATAATAAGCGATATGATTACAGATTTAGGTGGACCAACCAGCAAATTGATAAAAGGAAGAATGACTTAAAAGCCTAAGATTTCCCATATGATTATTAATAGAATATTCATGCAATATACATTCTTCTCGGAGTAAGTGAGGTGTGATAATGAACTTCCAGAAAATGAATAGTCTTTTCATAACATTTTTTATACCAAATTCTTACTTTTTTATGATACATTTTCCTTGCAGATTGTTGAAAGCGGACTGATGACACGAGCTGATTATGTAGAAGTGAGTGAAAAAGCATTAAGCTTGTTTGAATATGGACAGGTACTAAGCTTCTTTGCCTAGGTCATTGTCAAATTCGGGAAATACAGGAAGTAATGAAGTGTCTTCTCATTCTAGCCAGTAATATCACACTTGTAGCATATGATATATATTTTTCCTCTTGCACTGGAAAAGAAATAATTGTTTAAATAATGTGACAGTATAACTCTAAGACGGCATTTTATTTAGTTTGTGTATTAGACAGTCATTTACATACTGAAAAAAAAAATAGCATTAAAGTGATATGGTTTAATTTGTCAATGCTGTGTGTGCTACCAACAGTGGACAATGTAAAGATTGTTGTGCTCAGGAACAGATTTCCATGTTACTCAATGATGTAGGGTTTCAAATATTTTCTTTCAAGTTGTTACACCTTTGATTAAGATATGGGTGGTTCTCTTTCAGGGAAAAACCATTAAAAGGCTTTTCTTATTCCATAGGAAATTATATCTATATTTTTCAGATATTTGGTGCAGAACTTAGCAGAATGTTATATTCTAAACAAATATACAGTAATTTCTAAAAGGTTCGTCTTCTTTTTTTAAGGAAGACCCCATTGTCCTAGAGCTTTCTTGAGCCTTTCTAAACTTCTTACGAAGTGCATACGGTACAGGGATGTACCATTCTTCAAAATATTGAATATGTGTATACGTTGAATAGCTAGCTCTGTTCCCATATTCTCTATTTGTCTTTGTCATGCATACTAGAGGAAACAGAGAAGTTGGGAACAGGATACCCATATGAACAGTTGGGGATCCAAATCCTTACTGCATACAACCATCTCCACAACAACGAAAACCTTTTCCCACTCGAATCCTTATACTTAAAAATATTACTGATATTTTTATATCTTACTTTTTCATGTTTCTTCTTCCTTAATGTTGAATTTAGATGCGTATGTTCTCAATTTTGGTAAGCATGTTATCGGGGAATTTGTCTCTAAACATTTAATATTTGAACAAAACATATTTATCCAACTTACATTCATCATTTGACAAAGGGTCTTTGTCGTACATGATAAAAGATATGTCTAAGACAGGTTGACAATTAAAAATTTACATAAGTATCATGTAACTTGTTTCAGACTTTCAATCATCATTACATCAAACCATTTTATGTACATTATTCAGACACAGAAGTTACCATCATAATCCAACAGCACAAATATAAATTCAGTCGTTCTCATCTGTGAGACTATTGAAAAATGTTTCTCGAGAGACAAGTTTGCATCTTCAAGAAATGCAACCCACTCAAACAGCTTCCATGTATTTCTAATAATCTCACCTCCTACCATATAAATTTATCTTTTCCACAATAAGGGATTGAGATTTGTGTGCAAATTATTACTGACTAGTGAGAAAATCTTGATTATACGATCTTCTTATCCAAGGTACTTAGTGTTCCCAAGTCATTTTTTTGATAGCCCCTCATGGATTATGTGGTTGATCCGTTGATTGGTTACTCAGTCCTGTGTGCATAATATATTTTGACATCTATGAAGTTATTTTTCTCTTGCTTTATTGTCTCTTTGACTTCTCCTTTTGATTGACTTTACAGCAAGTGGCTTTGGAACATGGCCTCATATTGGTAGATACCAAGTATGAATTTGGGAAGGCAAATGATGGTTCAATTCTGTTAATTGATGAGGTTCAATGCTATCCCTTGCATACTGGATTCTTACATGCACTCAAAGATTTTAAGTATATAAATATGTGATAAAAAAATTTCATTCCCTACTTCAGGTCCATACTCCTGATTCAAGTAGATATTGGATTGCCAATTCTTACTTGGAGCGCTTTCAAAATGGTCTTGAGCCTGAAAATGTTGATAAGGTATTTTATGTGTATCATTACCTTTGTTGTTTTCTACATAGTGAGTTATGCTTTTATTGCTAGCGTATAGATTTAGTGGATGAATTCTCTTCCATCTATTTATGTCTTTTTGATGAATTATGGATAATAATCAATATGCTAATATTTAGGAATTCGATTTTTAGGAGTTCTTGAGGCTGTGGTTCAAAAGTCACTGCAACCCCTATGAAGATGAGGTATTTTATATTTTCTACTGCTAATGAATCAGCTTGTAGGCTTTAAAGATAAATCAAATCACACTGGTGAATTTTATTTAGGTCCTTCCTGATGCTCCTGAAGATCTTGTTTTTGAATTGGCTTGGAGGTATGTCTACTGGCACTAGTTCCTTTTACACTGATATATTTTGTTTTGAACCTTATTTTGAGAAAAAAAGCCCAGAGTTTATGGTTTTTTTCTTTAGGACTTATTAGTACTTTAGTAGTTATGCTCTGATTTTTCTTTGTAAGAACATTGCAAAGATTCAAGTGTTGCTTGCTTCATCGTATTTGTAACCATGGTATGTTTAGTTTGTATGTACAATTTGGAGTAGGAGTAGAAGAATAGTGGCATGTATTGTCCTCTTTCTTTCTTTTAATAATAGAAGAAATACATTTTGGAGGATAAGGGATCCTCCATTATAAAAATTGAAAAATAAAATTACAAAGTAATGGGAGATCATTAATCTCCTCTCCGTTTTGCATTCATTGTCTGAACCTGCTTTTGCTTATCATTTTTAAGCTGGCTAAGTTCTTCCATGCCAAAATGTATTTGTTACGACTAGCAATTGGTGCCCTATGTAGATACTAGCTTTAAACTGCCGGTTTCTATGTATTTATTTTTGGTTACATGAATGGTTTCTTTTCAACTTTTTTACCTTATAGCTTGTTTCATTACGAATGATTTAGAAGAGGTTGAAAGTTGTATTTGCTTAAATGCTTCATCAGAACTCAAGTAGGAGAATTTCTCTCTCTCTCTCTCTCTTTCTGACACAACATATTGCCACATAAGGTGATTAAAAAAACGGTTACATTGTTTTCCCATTGTATGTGAAGAAAAATTCCGACCTGTTCTTACTATGCATATATGCTATCAATGGTGCAAAAGTGTTGCCACTAATTAGCACGTTTCTCATGATACAGTGATCATTACAGTTTCGGTGTCCTACTTTCATGACATGTCTGTCCTATTTATGCTTCTTTACATAGATCTAAATTGCGTGAATCAACTTATGGTGGATTTTGAGTACAAAATTTTATGCCTTGTTCGTTTAAATGAGCATTATACTATTCTTCTGGACAGATATATTTTCTTGTATGAGACTATAACAAAATCAAAGTTTGAGATGCTATTGACCGAGGTAATCCATATACCAATATTCTTTTTTTTAATTATATTTATAATGTAATCAATACTGATATAAGTTAATTTCTTCTCGCAGGAGCCAATACATGACCGAATTTCACGAAGTGTTACATATGCTCTATCATCTTTAAAGTAGCCCTGGACTTTTAGGGCCCCTCCTTTAGCTCTGGATTTTAAGGATCTCTTACTAAAAAATATATTTAAAATAAAAAATATAGTTAGAACTTCAAATTGACGGAGAACTTCTCCAAACAAGTTTTTATTTTCTATATTCTAATGTATAACTTAAAACAGAAAGACAGAAGAAGCTTCATTTTCTTCGAAATCAAACTTGTTTCTGGAAATTCATGAAAACAGTTTTCAGAAATTTGTCACCTTGTGATTTTTCTTTTGTCCCCAAGGGTAAACTGCTTTGAACGCACAACCAAATGAGTCGTTTGCCTTGTACATTTCCTTGTGACAGTACGAGAAGTAAATATTATTTGTTCTGTACGAGAAGTTGTTTGCTCCTGTTACTGCATGCTGCAATTTTTCTTTTTCTTTTTTATTCTACTTTCTTTACTACATTATTTTTTCGGGCTGTTACACCTTCTTATGTGGTATAATGCTTGCTAGTAATTTCAGTTATTCTCTGTTATAACTTTTATATTATGATAAATAAATTTTAAATTTTGATGGTAACTTTAAAAATTGCCAGCATAGAATATCATTGGATGCCATGTAGCATCAAAGAGAGATGTCAAAATGATGTTGCAGGTGCATCGAATACAATAGAACATTTTCATCATTTTACATTACCCTGAAAGCATTCCCTGCTGCTGCAACTCCCTCAAGGTACATCCACGTTACAGAAGATTCATCCATATGTTGTAGGACGTAAATCATTGGCTGGATAACAAGGAGTACCTGCCGTACTTACATTCCATGTGACCAGATACAGATTCATCTTCTTATAAGAGTGGCCTCAGCTTTACTAGAGGTGTGGACTAGTGTCTTTTTTGGGCATCGCCAATTAAAAGGGGGAGAATGGCTGACGCTTTTCTTTGCGTATATGCATGAAGTTTTAGGATTTGAATTATTACTATTATTATTTTCTTAAAGTTTCCTTTGAGAACATGATGGTGTCATGCAATAGGAATGAATATATTCGGGAGTGATATTATCAACAATGAAATTATAGGAATTATGATTACCCTGTTTGTTTGACCAAAACATTCCTAGGAAGTAGGAACGAATGTTTATTGGTTGCTATCATCAATCTTGGGAACTAATCTGTTTGTTGGTGGCTGTCATCGAATGCTAGTCGTTGGGAAAAGGGTGGCCGGATTTCGGTGATTGGCAATGGCGGTTAGAGTTGTCTACTAGGGTCAATTGTGGGTAGGTGGTAAGATTTCAATGGTTGGTGGTGATGGCTATAGTTTTGTCACTGTCTAACCACTAGCAGAGGTGGAGGGGGATCAGATTCCAGTGACCGGTTGTAGCGAACGAAAGTTGGTGCCGGTTAGTGGCAGTTGTTAGCAGTGACATGGTGGGGGTTGATTCATCACCTGGTAATGGAAGAGTATATATTTTGGGCATTTCGTATGGCACAAATATTTTATTGCATTTAATGAATGAGTCAGCTCTCCCAATGAGAATGAAAGGGTGGGAAGGTGAAGCAAAAACAATCCTCAACTCTTGGGTGGAAACATCTTTTTTTTTAAATGATGTACTAAACATGAGAATTCAGCTTTCTATTGTAAAGATTTCTTACAATTATAACTCATATTTTGAAAAGATAACTGGTTGGATGGAGAGATTACTCTGACCAATCAGGCCTTATTCCAACTGTCCGAAATGGAGCTTCGAGCTTCAGTTACTGTTGCCCAGTTCACCAAATTTCAAGAGTTGTGGGATATGGATAAACTAAGCACCTATCTTTCTACCGTTATTATCAACAGAATCATTGCTTTGTCCCCTCCTTCTCTTGAAGACGGTTCGAACCCATTGAAGTGGAGAATTTTCCATTTCAAGTACTAACAAAATGCTGACTAATCACGACCGGGATTATCATGGTCCTTGGAACCAAATCTGGGATTGGAATGACCCAAAAAAAACTAAAACTTTGATGTGGCAAAAGTCTCACAATTGACTTCCCATAGCACGTGATTTGGATGTAACCCGGACCGCTATCAATGCATTGGTAAGCCTGTGTCCTTTCTCCATGCCCTGAGAGATTGTTCAGCTGCTGCTAGGATTTGGATCCACTTGGTGGCCTCTCCTAAGATTCTTCATTTTTTCTCTTTCTTGAATTGAACTCATCCTTAGAGAGGATCCTCCCAAATGGCTATTAAATCCAATCGTGAGGATGAGGCATACATATGTGACAGCAAGTGAATAATTGTGTGTTTGTTTTAGATGCTTGCCAACATAAATGGATAAAAAAAACACTGATACATTTAAGCGATTATGAGAAGAATTTTTTTTTCTTCCATTGGCGTTGAATAGAGATTTATAGAAGGGTTCAGTGTTTTTTATAGGAAATAAAATTATCTTCTACACATATATAAAAATATGAGGAGTCCATGTAGAGTCATGTGAAAAGAAGAGAAAAAAAATATAAACTTCACACATTTATTTATTTATATATATATATATATATATATATATATATATATATATATAAGATAATTTTATCTCATATAATATGAGAATCATTATAACATTTGTATAAATAGGCTCTTAATCATTGATGGCCTCTAAAATAGCTCAGCTTAAACTTTGCAAAGGACTTTTGATCTTGAAACTAACAACACTTATATTTGTTCTAGATTTTAGTTTTGGGTTGTTCGCCTTTTGTTTTAGAGTAATGATATTTTCTTATATATTTTCAATATAGTAAGTTAGTAACTATACAGGCAAAAAGGGACCTTTTATTTTCTTGATCAAGAAGGAAAGAGAGAGAGGGAGGGGGTAATGATATTTTCTTATCTGTTTTCAATAAAGACGATAAGGCCAAAGTCCAAAATGGTGAGGGCCAAGCTCAAAGTTCTACAGCCCAAGTTAAGAGAAGAAAACTATCGCATGTCTCACACATGCAAGCAACCAATCATGATAGATTAAGCTAGACACGTCAGCTGCTAAGTCATTTTCAGTTATAGAATTTGTTCAGATATTCAGTTAGGCAATTAGTTAGTTTCACAAGAAAAATAAAATAATAATGTAATAGTTATTAATTCATTTAATTAGTTACGTAACTTTTCTATTAGTTAACATGGTGTAAACAGTTTAAGTTAGGTCAGACTTTGACTTTAATAATCTAAGTTTATGAAAAATATTTAGAGCCTATCAAATGGCGAACCTACATTATTGCAAGTGATCGCAAATGCGGTCACAAATTTTCTGAGAAGAAAAGAAAGTTATGCTATGGTTGAAATTTTTATTGTAAATAGATGTCTAGGATCATTCTAGCCTTAGTTATTATAATAATTAAAAAAGTTTTAATTTTAGTTAAAAAAGTTAAAAAGAAACTATTATGAATGTGGGGTAATAAGATAAATACCATATCCTTCTTTGTGGAGTAAAAAAAGAAATATATTGTTTACCAAAAAAAGAAGAAGAAATATTGCAAGGTAAATTGTTTCTATAACAATTCCAAACGTGTTAATGGTGATGAGAAGGAGCGCAAATTCCCTTTTATTTTTTAATGCATTTAAAACTTTCTTTAAAAAAAAAATTCGGGGGCAGCAACACCCGCCATTAAGTGTGCGGACATAAATAAAATTGTCTGAGTCTGCCAGTGGAGCCTATATTGATCTATTAGCCTATTATAAAAAATTAAAAAGACTAACACGACTTGTAGGGCCTATCAAGTTGCAAACCAAAATTTATAGACTCAAACCAAACTGAAATATAAAAGACAAAGTTTCTTATTTACAAAGATCATGTGAAATATTATTTTCATAAACAACATGTGAAATAATGTTCATAAAAATCACATGAAAATTTCATTAAAAATTCTCAAAAAAAAATTTTAACAAGATCACAAAGATCCTTAAATAATGTTCATAACAACACATCAAATAATATTTTTATGAGTTTTTTATTTGTTCTTGGCAACTTTTACAATTTTTTAGTGAGCATTCTTCTTCTTTTTTTCTGTTTTGATTGACCATTTTTACTTTTTGCATCATTTAAATATCACCTTCTTGAAAAATAACTACTTATTTTTTTAAAAAGTAATAACCAATCATATATGATAAGAGATAAGTAATTTTTAAGGTGAAGTAGACTTTGTTCCAAGAAATAAATTTTTAAATGCACATTTGAAGTCATTGAAAATTTTCCTAACACACACAAGTTTGACATCAGTATCAAGGGATTCTATCATATATATATATATATATATATATATATATATATATATATATATATATATATAATTTGCATTTTTTTACTAATTTAATTTAATATTATTTTTTAAATAAATTTTTATTATTTTTAAAATAACATCAATCCTATTACTTTACAAATTAGAGTTATAAATCATGATCTCATAAAATGTCTTTAAGTGAATAATATATATAATAAATATATTATATTATTAAAAAATTCAAAAAGCTAGCCCATAGGTTTTTAGACCATATTGAAGTGGATTTATGACATATTTTTTAAAGAAAAAATATTTGTCCTTTTAAATGACATGACTTATATCATTTCATTCTCATAAAGAGGTGGGACCCATACCTTTTTATTTTTTTGTCCACTATCTCTCCTTCTTTATTTATATCTTTCTCTTACTTAAAACTAGTGTATTACCCGTGCGTTGCACGGAGGGAAAAAAATCGATTTGTTTGTCTCGTAAAAACTAACGCAACACATGCAAGATTCCGAACCTACATTTTTTATCCTTCATCCTCTGAGGAATGAATGAGTAATAATGTACAAATGAAAGTATGAAAAAAAAAAAAAACACATGAACATGTGAGTACAAATAAAAAGTGTCATAACAATACATTCATACATTGATGACGATGGAATATTGTTTGTTCAAAAATAGCAGTTAACAATATACCATGTGTGCATGAAAAACGATTCCTGCATGAGAAAAAAAAATTAGAAGTTAAAAAAACCAAACGGTAATGAAAATAAGTAAAAAAACACTCTATTGCCATTTTTTTTTCTTTACCTATACCAAGCAGTGATGTTATCTCATAGTAGAGAAAAGGAAATTCACGACATTAATCTTTGAAATACTTCCTTGTAAACTATATTAAGGGTACTATTTGTAGCACAACTGTTTTCATCAAGTATCAATATCTTCAATCCATGCTTGCTCTTTACTCTAGACAGTGCCACATATAATTGCCCATGAGTGAAGACAGACTTGGGGAGATAAATTGAAAGACATTGTCCTTGGCTCTTATTGATAGTCATGGAAAATGAAACAATCAGGGGGAATTGTCTTCTTTGGAAATTTATAGGAAATGTGTGACTTGATGGGCTCATCGTCATTCTAGGGATTAACACAGTTTCACCTATATTGCTTCCTGTAAGAACAATTGCCTCAACAACATGATTCCCCAATTTTGTAATGAGCAGCCTTGTGCCGTTGCAT